CGTGGTCATCACAGCACAGAGACGGCATTAGTCAAGGTCCTCGATGATTTGAGGCGAGGTGTTGATAAACACAAAGTTGGTATATTAACCCTTCTCGATTTAAGCAGTGCCTTTGATATCATCGACCATGAAAAACTCATCCATCGTCTCAGGTGTGATTTCTCCATTGATGGTACAGCTCTCACTTGGTTCCAGTCGTATCTGTCGGGTCGTGTTCAGACCGTCATCATTGATGGTCATTACTCTGACTCAGCCAGCATCAAGTATGGTGTCCCACAGGGATCGGTCCTCTTCACATTGTAGATAACAGAGCTCGGAAGCGTAATTGATGAGCACCGTGTGAATCGTCATCACTATGCAGATGATGCACAGGTGTACAGATGCTTCTTTCCTGACAAGGAACAAACAGCTATTGCCTCGAAAGACATGTCCGAATGCTGTGAGACCGCCTCCAAGGTGTAGTGGTTAGAGCGTCCGCCCGTAGAGCGGAAGGTTGCGGGTTCGATCCCCGACCGCGTCATACCAAAAGACGTTAAAATATGGTACTTGTTGGCGTTCGGCATTAATGGGTACAAGGACTGGTCGGCTCGGAGTCAGTACAATGTGTCTGAGTGGGGTATTCATGCTTCACTGCGGCATGGTATCTCAGTGGGCTAGCACTATAAAACTAGCTAAAGTCTCAAATTCTGCTGTCAACTAAATCTCTTGCTAACGTTCCTGTCAAGGTTACACCTCACAGGACGCTCAACAACAGTAAAGGCATCGTCCGTGATGTTGGGCGTTGCCTTACCGACATGACTGAAGCAGGCATCGTTTCAGAACTTCACTCCCAAGGAGTCACTGCTGTGAAACGTTTCACTTTTAAAAGAGAAAATGAAATTCTAAAGAGCAACACTTGTTTGTTTACTTTCTGTCTTCCATCACGACCAGACTCACTCAAGTCTGGTTATTGTCGACTCAGGGTAGATGCCTACATTCCTAATCCTCTGAGGTGTTACAATTGCCAAAAGTATGGCCATGGCTCTAAATCATGCCATAACCCAGCTGCCTGCCACCGATGTGGTGGAAGTGTGAAGACAGCAACCTTTGTGATAAACCACCAGCCTGTGTAAACTGTTCTGGAAGTCATCCTTCATATTCCAAAGAATGCCCAACATGGAAACTTCAAAATAGAATTTCACGGGTCAAACATGACCGAAATATAACCTTTTCAGAGGCAAAGAAATTTGTACTTGATCAAGAAACTTCTGGCCCATCTTATGCCACAGTCGCTTCCGCTAAAACGTCAACTCCGCCTCCCAGATCTATTTCTTGTAAATCAGTAAGTTGCTAACCATTGTGCCAGTTACGTGAGAGTCCAAGAGTGTCTTCACAAACGAGGCAGAGTCACTGATGGAGGATTTACCTTCTTTACCAATTTGGAGAGGAAGTTAGATGTATTATAGAATACAGAGCCACGAGACCATATAGGTATTCTGGTTTCGACAGGGTTTTTTGTGAATTTTGACAGTTGCACGTGCATAGAGAGATTGACAATTGATGGAATTGAATTAGGTAAATGTAGAGTCACGTATTTCATTGTTCTTATGCTGACGCTCCAACGTGGCCTTTGGGTCTTTGGGCTTTGGTCCCTCTTTCTTCTTTGTCTGATGAAGAGGTATTTTCTTTACTGAAAGAATTTTACTCAGTCAGTCAGTCAGTCCTTTGTTTTATCAGACATGACAGAAGAAGAATTTGTTGCCGACTTGAAAGACCAAGGCGTTAATTCTGTTAAGCGTTTCATCAACATCATCATCATCATCATCATCATCATCATAACACATAATGTGTTTTTAACTGGGATTTGAATGTGACAAAGTCACTACAGTCCCTAAGATTCTGTGCAAGTTTGTTCCAGGCCACTGGTGCTGCATGGGCAAAGGCTGTGTGTCCATACTGCACTGTTCTTGTTTTAAGGACAACAAGCAGATTGTTATCTTGCTGGATCTTGTCATTCTGTACATTTTGTAGCTTTTGTATCTGAGACTTGGTTGCACAAACCAACAGACAGTTGCAGTTGTCAAGTTTGCTCATGACAAGGGCTAGAACAAGAATTCTTGGTGTTTCAGTTGTCAGGTATTGACGGATATTGCCAATGTTCCGGAGTGAGATGAAGCAGGTCTAAACAACATAAGAGACATGATTGTCAAGTGACAAATCTGAGTCTAGGATTACACCAAGATCCCTGACTTGATCTGCGAAAGGAATATGTGAGTTGTCGAACTCGAAGGAATCAATAGCACACAGATTCCTCCGTTGCACTGGACCCAGGAGAATAGATTCGGTCTTGCTGCTATTAAATTTTATTTAGTTACTAGCATCCAGGATTTGATACTCCCAAACTAGACTCTTGTATCAGTACCGTGGCCACTAGACTCACAGTAGATAGCATTGTCAAATTAGTTTCTAGCTGTTTTAAGACCTCCTACTTCACCTGGCAAGACAACATCTATCACCAAATCCATGGGCTCCCCATGGGTTCACATCTGTCACTGCCAATCACCGAGATCTTTATGACCAGCTTCGACAGCCCTGGCAGCATCCCCTTTCCAACCATTCTGTTGGTACAGAAATGTGGATGACACCTTACCATCCTACATCTTGACCACGAATCTGCCATCCTCCTCCACCATCTCAACAAGCAGTACCTGCGCATCCAGTTCACGATAGAGATAGAAGACCAAGAGAAACTGCCGTTCCAAGATGTGTCTTTGCAGAACTCTGCCAACAATATCACCTTCTCCATCTTCAGAAAACTCACTCACAGCCCCAGATCAAATGCGTCATTGTATCAACCCTGACCAAACGAGCCAAATTAATCTGCAACCCCAACCATCTCCAAGCTGAAATAGACCATCTAAGAAACACATTCATAAACCACAACAGATATCCCAAATATCTTGCAGACAGAACCACAGCATCGACCCTCCAAAAGCAAGAAGGACGCCAACCCAAACCCCAATTCCCCGATAAGAATAAGCATTCCCTACCAAGGCCAGATCACCCGCCACATTAGCCTACTGCTTAAGAAAAATGCCAGCATAGATGACTTTCGGCTTTATAAAAACACTGAAAAAGAAACTGTGGGCCAGTGGAAGATGTGCCTCATTTACACAATGGGGCTAGGAGACCAGGTCCCTCCCAAGGGCTCAATTTTTTAACAATTGAGCCCTTGGGAAGTCCCTAATCCCGTAGCCCCATTGTGTATACTACTATTGAGGTGCATGCAAAATGTGATGGAAATCGGTTGAATAGTTTCTGAAATATTTGACTTTTACATGAGCATGGGGTCGAGTCGCAGTGCATGTGTCTCTCTCGGCTTGGTGTACGGGTGGCTGGATGGCTGGCTACATTAAGCAGAAAAATAGGCATGCAAGACTGATAAAAAAATCATGACGAGAAACTATCATCACACGGTGGGTGATGTGTAAGGGACTGTGTTGTGAGGTACGATCATCAACTCCTCTCTGACGAATGCTCTCGGCGGTCCGTCTTTCGAGTAGTACAAGTTCGGTTGACCGTTTTTGATGTCGACAAGGTCTACGTTGTATGTTTTCATGGACCATATCGGATCGGTGGCGCGTTTTCTGCTGTCTCCCTCGTATTCTCCTGGCTGGTACAAGTACGTAACACTGTCGCGGTCCGGTAATGCTTTTTTCTGTTTTATCGCGACGTGCTGCTGCCGATGATGATTCGACAGATTTCATTTTGATGTCTTCAACGGGTCTCTTGTCCACGAGTCTGGTGACTTCGTTGTTGATGACATCTGTTTCTGTTTGAATGGCTTGGCTACGGTGAGTTCCCGCTATACCTCGTCTCACCTGGACTTTGTGCTTGGCCAGCAGCTGCGACACGGCTCCCATGAACTCGCGTCCGGGATCGACTTTCACTATGGTAGGCCATGTCAAGTGACTGCATTTGTATATGCGTTCAAAGGCTTTGACGACTTTGTTCGAATCTTTCATTGTCAACAGTTCGGCTTCCTTGTAGCGACTTGCGACGTCTCGACGGTCAGGGCATACTTGTAGGTTTTGCGCCTCACCCTGTCGTGAGGGAGAAACAGGAGGTCGGCTTGGTGGACTTGATTCAGCGTTGAAATGTGGAATTTTCTTCTTGGGATGTATCGTGGTGCCGGCAAGTAGACTTGCCAGATGGCTTGTTTTGTAAGCGAAGCTTTGGCTTTCTCTTCCGAGACTAGTGCGGCTTTGGTGAGTTTCGGGATGGTGTCCACGCCTTTCCAGTACCCTTGTGGGCTGTAATAAATTTTCTCCATGATATATGTACGCATGTGTGGGTAAGCGTTCAATTATTTGATACGCGTTTGTACCCGTACATGTAAGTGGTGACTCTGTCGATGGCTATCCATCGTTTCGGGTTCATGGGAGACAGCGAGGTCTTGCTGATTCTCTGTCCATATATCCTGTGTCCGTCGCTTCTCAGCATGTTCATTTGGTGTTTGAACGTGTTATGCTTGAACAGGGCGTGCTTGATGTGTTTTTTTAAAACGTGTTTTTTCACACCTTTGTCGCTCGTGGCTTGTTTTCGCAGATTCGTGTTCAACCGAATGAAAGATTCCATCCATGGACTTTGATCGAACTGGAGCACCTTGAGTATTTTCGTGAGTTTTATTCCCAGCGACAAGTACAGCTGCAGATGGCTATAGTGAACAACGTATTTCCACGAACAGGTGCATGTCGTAATCCGTCAGTGGTTTCAACTCGACGCCGGTCATTTTAAACAAGGCATCCCAAGAGAGACAGGGTGATGAGAAATACCACGCGGGGGCCAGGCCATGCTGTTCCTAGCACGTTTTTCTGAATATCTCGGCAAGCAGCAGCTCAGTTTGTCCCACACGTTAATCGCCTGCGCATAATCGTCTAGAGAGATATTGGAATCGGTCATGTTGCTGTAAAATTGGTCAAGGAGAGGACAAAACGTTTCTAAAACGTTTTCTAGTGGTTTCTCATGGAAATGTTTCATGAAAACGTTTTGATAATGTTTTTGAAACGTTTTTTGAACGTTATTTTGAAACGTTGTGAAAACGTTTCGAGTAACGTTATTAAAACGTTATCAAGAAACAAAATCCAAACTTCTACACACCAACGTTTTAGAAACGTTATTGAAACATTGGCGAAGGTTTTCCTAAAGTTTGATTGAAACCAAATCACAACGTTATAAGATCGTTAGTGGAACATTTTGAGGTTACATTTTCCTGATAAGAATGTCTCCGTTCACTACAGGAATGTACATTAACTTGAAAATAATGGTCATGAAATTACACCTGTACAAAAATATTTGTGAGAAAACTTGAAAACTGTTGTGAACATTTTGTCAAGTGGAATAGTATGTCATGTGTTTCATTACTATCATTTATTTCTGTACCGTACTGTTTACTACAGATCCAACATTGTATTGTAAATATTATCCCCGTTTACTGCCGTGCGTTTAAGTTCAGCCTTTTCTGCGTGGACAACTTGCTATCTTTTGTATGGTGTCAGCTTACAGGAATGTTCCCAGATACTTTATCAGGTCAGAGCAGGAACCCGGGCATTCAAAATCGGACTCTGTACATAGCAGGCGGGAAGTTCCATCACATTGCTGGATGTAGAAGACGGTACATTTTACTCTAGTGACAAGACGACAGTTTTCTAAAAGGAGGTATGTATATTCACATTATTGTTCTTCAGTCAAATTCTATATCTTGCCTTGTGAACGTTCATCCTTTGTTTGTAACTGTACGTATTCCTATGATGTTTTCTCAATATATGTGTGATAGATATTACTTGTGGCATACAATCTTTGTGACGTAGTGTTAGAATGAGTGTTTACTACATGAGCATCAATGTTCACAAGATCAAAATCAATAGTACAAGCAAAATGAGATAGCCTGTTTATATATGTTTGCAGAGTGGTAAATTAATAAATGCACATTCATATCCAAACTATGTCACAGTGTATCTGTGTTTGCAAATAATGCAATGTAGAGTGCACGGTGTTATCAATTAAATTACAAAGAAACGTCGACTATTAACGTAACTATAATATTACCATTTATTAAATGACCAAAGTGTAGATATGTGTTCAAATATAGGAATTTTCTCTGTTTCTTCTGTCCCGTATCCAATCTGCCGACACAGATTTGGTCACGTAGACACTCTTGCTTATCAGCGATGTACAGGAAATCGGGGGATAATATTACATTCGAGTCGGTGACTCCAGCTCGTTATTTTATAGCAAACAATACGTCACTTCCCTAACAACCCGACCATGATTCCTCACAACAAATGTCAGCCCCCTCATAAGTAAATGTAGTATGCGACTTTTATACAAGAGATGAAGATGTGTCATGAAGAAATATTTTTAAATAAAAGTTCATCCTGCCATTAAAATGCAACTTATCATTTATAACTTGGGCCAAATGTAAGAAATACACAATATTCAGTTCCGTAAAACTATTGTGAGTAACAAGTTCCTTTTGTAAATGATGCCCGTATTTTGGGAAAGTATCATACAATATAATCAGATGAAATCACTTGCACAATTTGACAAATTGTATTAATTTTGTTGGTAATAAATTCCTATTGTATATGATTAATGGTCTACTGAGGTTGATTTATCTGTATTTATTTTGTAAGTTTTCGAAAAATACTGGTGGGAATTTGTACTCTTCAACATAGCTTTACGACACAGAAACATTATGTAGCAGTAATTTAGCATCATCAAGAGTGAAGTGACAGTGAATATTTATAGAATTTCTTTGTGTTTATTTCAGAAGCCAACACAGACGCAAGAAAAGCCCGATGGCAAAGGTGACTGATTATCTTCCATATGTATTGATGAAATGAAGTATTCTTTAAAACATATTATTGGTTTGTTTTCATTTTCACTAATAATAACGGATGACACGATTAACAAATTTACTTACGTGTATGTATTTTATTTGAACGGGATTCAAAACACTTGGTGTTGGTAAACTAGCCTTGCAACGATATCAGAAGATGATATCGTTTCTGATATCTCTACAATCGCAAAAAGGTTCAACCCAAACGTTTCTGAAACGTTTTAGAAAGCCCATGGAAAAACGTTTTCAAAACGTTTTTAGAAGGTTTCTAATGTTTCTCGCCAACGTTTCGTCAAAACGTTTTTAAAACGTAAAAAAACTCCACAAAATTAGGTTTTAAAACGTTTTTTTTGAACGTTTTAAAACCATACGGAAACGTTTTCAAAACGTTTCTGTGTTAGGGGAGTTGATTCCGTGCACGATCGTTTTATTCCCTTCGTGTCCGAAGATATTGATGGCCGTGTCGTGGTTCTGTTTCTCGATTTTGGTGACCTGGGAGATGGGGGTGGGTTCGTCTATGCCATCCCAGTAGATCGCATCGTCTTCGGGATAGCTCAAAAGTCTGTCTGAATGTGCTTTGACCGGAAACTTTGCGGATCTGATCGCAACCCTCATGCAATCGTCGCCTTTGTTTATGACGTTGACCATGGCTTGCTTTTTCTTGTAGTACGGTGGCAAGTCTAGGTACGACCCTCCTTTGAATGGTACGTAGTTCGCTATGTCCACATAGACCTTGTCAATAGTGTCCATGACCCAGCCCCTAACCCATGTGCATGTAGCTTTCCAGGGATTCTAGTATTTTGCAAACAAGGTGTTGGTGGACTTGTCAACAGACTCGGGTTGAGTCGCGACTTCTTGCTTGCCTCAGAAGTAAGGCTGGACGTGCTCGGTGGTGCCGTCCGTCTGCTGTTTGTCCAGCGACATGTTCACCGTGAGTTGAAATTTGAAGCTTCCCAGATCGTTCAGTTCCAGCGGTTTGATGTTGTCAACGTCCATGTTTTTGTCGACGTCCATCCTACAGCCTCTCAGATACTTACCTACGGCATGGTTTGTCAGCACAAACCGTAGTTCGACTGGTTTGTGTTCCTCCAGCAGTTCGAGGAGCTCGGCTTTCCTCATGCGCGAATAACCTCTGAGCCCACGCTCCTTCGCTCGGAGTTTGAGCTGTTTCACTCTGGGTTGAGGAGGTTTGTCTTTCATGCCAAGCAATCACAGCAGCAGAGGTTTCCTTGAACGGGAGTAACCGATCACTCCGCGTTTTTTGGCAATCCTTTTCAGTTCTCGAACGGTAATCATCATTGCTATATCAATGTGTGAAAAACCTTTTCTAAATGAAAATATAATTATATTCAGGTGCAAAATCAAATCTCTAATAGGTTGTTTGCTATAGTCAGGTGTGAAGTCAAATCTTTAATAGGATTTTCATCGCTATGTTTGGCTGTGAAGTCAAAATCTCTAGTAGTTTGTTGATGTGCAAAGTATGTCTCGCTGTTAAATGTTAGCAATACGTTGGATAGTTAAACTTTCAACCGACTTTTAAATTTAAAAAAAGCGATTTTCATAGCAGTCGGTTGTGTTCGTTGAGATAGTCTCTTTGCGTCAAGTAGATGAGATGGCCTCTTACCACGTCCACTCCGTGGGCTTTGCAACGTCGATAATGGCATTTAACGCAAACGCCGCACACTTCACACTTGTAATTCACAAAAACCATTTCGTATGGACATCATGTGTATGCCGCAATATTCTGTGGTGCATTTCTTGCCGCAGGTTTCTGTTTTTCCGAGCAGCACATACTTGCAGTTATATGGTGCGCGTCTTCCCATCTTTATATATATATATATGTATACACACATATATATATTTTAGTCTAATTGTTTGGCGATCAACAAGGTCGCCGCTAGACCCAGCACCATGAAAATCAGTTCCTGGTCTTTCTGTTCCATGGAAGGCGTGTAAAACTGTGAGAGGGTGGGTTCATTGCCGAGAGGCTAGAGTCGTTTGCCAGTGAGCAGGTAGTATTCTCGTATGGCGTCGTCGACATTCTTGAACCTTTGAACGGCATGGTTTTCACGCAAGAGTTGTTTTTTTGTTGATGAACTGTATTCTCTGCACGCGTTTTTTGGTGAAGTCGGTGAAGTCGGCTTGTGCGGCATGCAGTTTCTCCAAGGCCAAATCACGACGCTCACGTTCCGCTTCCATTTTGGCTGCGTTTGACATTCGTAATTTGGAGAAGAGATAATTGATGCCTGAAATTGCGAGAGCATTGACTAATGCACCACCGACCATCATGGCGATCGTAGCCATTTCTTTTCATTTTTTAAAATATTATAATCTTACTTCAAAATAATTTCCGGTATAATTCCTTGTTTCACGAGAATTTCTTTGGTGGCCATCGCCAACCCTAAGTCCATGACGAGCATGCCCATGTCCTGCACATTGAAATAGAGTTTGATCTTAGGCTGTTTAAGAACCATTTTTGTTAAGTGAGCGTAACCTACGGTTAGTCCGGCAACTACGGCGGCGTGATATGCATCGTTGACGAATCATTTTCCTTCAGACGACATCGTGTGTGTATATATAAAACATATATATATTATTAATTTTTATAACATAACATGCAGATTTATTTTTAATTGTGATTGCGTCCTCTACTGCTGTTGTGGTGGTGGTGGTGGCTGCTTGTTATAATTATATAGCAGCACAACGACGACGACCACACTTAATCCCGACATCATCCATGTTGTATATTAATATCATTGTTAATTTTTTTCCTTTAAATTGACAATGCTTTGCCGTGATGATCGCCGCGGTCATCGGAGCTAAAAACATGCCGCATCTGTGGTACAGCACGCAACCGACGGCGCTCAAAGCATGGTCGATGAACGGATCTTTCTCGAGATCTTCCCAGTCGACTTTCCAGCGGAATTGGAAGGAAGTACGACGCTACGCTGGCGTAGACTTGCGTTATGACAGACCCTATGGTTTTTGTCATTTCAGCGCCGAGTCTGGCTTCATATCTCGCATACAGCTTGTCGATTTCTTCGGCTGGCATTTTGATAATTTTATAGGGAGTGTGGTGGTCGCCCCCACCACCCAAGTATTGTTTGGCTTTGCCACTGACCGCAAGCGTCACCAGTCTCCCTCACTTGTCGTTTTTATTATTATTATCATTGTCATCCAACATTTGTTTGAGCAGTTCGTCGCACTCCATCTGAGGTAACAAATGATTTTTAAGCCTAATAAAATAAAATGTGATGCACGTGAAACACAGCGAGATGAAAGTCATCGATAGAAAAGATAGTTTCAGTTTTTGCTTGAGTTATGCTAGAATTTTGCTAGAATTTTCTTATAATTTTGCTTAAAAGCTAGCAGACTTTATACACCACGGGTTGGTCGGTTTTTAACAAAAGTTTGGCGTGTTTCGTTTTGGCGAGCTGTTTCTTCACTCGTTTTCGTTCTCGTCTGGTCGGGATCATGTCGTTTTCTCGCAAGCAGTTCTGGAACGAATCCCTGTCCTTGCAGTGAAACAGGGTGACCAATCGCGTCTGTTCCATTAAATCTTTCAGCACCGAGTTGAGTTTCTGCATCAAAACCCAAACGCTGTGCTTCATGTGTTGGCCCGAGAAGGCCAGCTACGACAGCGTGTCTCGTTTTTTTAACCATCTCCTGTTGGCACTGCAGTCGTCCAGGATGAACAGCGTCAATTCTCCTTTCAGTTTGTAGTGGTAAGCGTGCAACCAGTCCTGCAATTTTGTGCATGTCCGGGTCCATCATCACCCACGGTCTCTTCGTGTACATCTTGTGGGGATTACGAGGTAAATCAACAAATGGCTTGCACGATTCTTCCATTGTCTATATTGAGTTGCACATCCATAATCACGTACAAATATAATTTTAACTTGCCAGCCGGATTTTGAGCTTTCTTGGTAATTTGGATGGTGATCCCCTTGCTGCCGTTGTCGATAACACGTCTGCTGCCATGTAGTCTGTCGTCGTCCGTGGATCGCATGTCCAGCCACAGCGTGTAATGTTTATCCAGGTACCTACTGAGGGTCACGTAGGTGAAACCGAGGTCTTTGATGACGTCGTTGACTTCAGGCGAGTGTCACTTTATGGCCGGTAGTTTTCTTATGTCGTCCCATTGCTGGTAAGCTCGCATGCCTTGGCTGAACAGTTGGTTGGGCACACCCTCGACGTTCACTTCAACTTTCGTAATCTCTGGATTCCAAGTTTGCTGTCTCTTCGAAACGGCTTGTATTCCGCCACAGGAATGATCAAGATGCCTCTCATTGATCGAGCCAGCACATTCAGGTTGATGTTCCACAACGTGTCGCTCTTGTTCTTGACGATCGTCTGGTGCCACAACACGCGGTCGTACAGGATGGACAGCTTATATGACTACTAGGTGGGAATCTGCCGTGCCAGATTCGTGTTTGTGACCATGTCAAACTCCAGTGAGAATGTTGTCGATGATGAAGCTGGCCTCGGTGCCGTGCGCCATGAAGATAACCTTGCCATGTGCCCCTCGAGCAACTCAAAGTCGAACGGTATGTAAAACCGATTCCCGTACGCCTAGGCGACAGCTTTTTCTCCTGCCGAGATTGTCTTGCGTGAAACCGTACCGCACACGGATTTCGTTTGATACGTCGTTATTCCGACTAAGTCCTTGATACGCCATGTCATCGCGTTCTTCCGAGGTTTTCCAGAGGTCCATGTAACAGTAAAACACGCCACTGTCGTCGATGGTCAGCACCTTGTTCCCGCTTATTTGATGGTGGTTTTCTTGACGATGGCATGACCCTGGTTGTTCACGATCGTGGGTTTGTCGTTCGCGGACTCCAACGTGATGTGAAAAGCCAGTTGAGTCGTGGCGGGGACGATGACGTCTTTCGAGCCTAAGTTGGGGAATCGAACCAGCAGCGTTTGGTTTTGATTGATCGTGCTCGGATTGTTGGTGATGGTCACCGACTGACACACGGCTTTGACAGCGAGCAAATCTTTCGATTTTCGGGAAGGATCT